TTGACTAATGCAGCATGAGGAGCAGAGTAAGACAGCTCCAGATGAAACATGTATCAGAGTAGGGCCTTAAACGTGAGGGTTCAGAGTTCCAGACCAGTCCTTCAGCACTTCGAGCCATTACTTTCTCTGTCTGTAATTCAGTGTGGGCTTTCTAAGATAGCTGTGCTGCAAACTTCTTTAGGCTGCAGAAGTGATAGAGTTTCTGGCAACACAGGCCTTAGAATATTCAGACCTCCAGTCCCATGCTTCTAGTTAATATACATTTCTACAGCAGAAGAAGAATCTCCTTCCGTGCAATACAATGGACAGCAGCAATGCCTGAATGATGCATAGCTTGCCTCCTGAAGCAAAACAGGAGAAAGAAGTTACTCCTGCATTCAGGCCTCCCTGGGAGTAGTGGTTCTCAGCTGCTGCTTTACTGTTGCGTCAGTCCACTTGCTTGGCAACTCATTTCTCCTGAAGGTGGGACACATCACCAGGCACCGCTTACTTTTGGACCTTCTCCTTCATCTTCTCAGTATGGCTCTGACCAAAGAGGATGGGCCTGACTCAGGATGGCAATAAAGAACTAATCCCAAAGAGTCCTTTTAGAGATCTCTTATTTGCCCAGTTAAGAACACACATTTTTCTCTGAAATTTGTCAAGGATACAGCCATTTCTTTAGACTATTGTGAAGACTATGAAGGACTAATAATCTGCTTTTGCAGGGCATGGTAAACCAGCACAGACTTTGGCAAACAGGTTGTGCAGAGCAGGACATGACCTAGTTGGCTGGACATGGACCACCTCTGAATCGAAAGCCCTTTAGCTCTGCTGGGCAGCACTGTGCTCTCAGCAACATTGCATAAACTTGGGCACAGCTCTCTGAGATTGCAGTCAGTGCTGTACAATCATTTAAACATAGAGGGAGCACAGGTTTGTCTGCAAAGCATTGTGCACGTACAGCCAGAGTAGTATCAATACACTTCTAAATTCAGGTGCTGATTTTGCATTGATGTAAGACTAAAGTTTTATTTAAGCGTATTCCACCAGATACATCTGCTGAAGACAGAATTTTGATTCTAAGTGTGTATTGTTCCATTCAGTCTCCAGAGAAATAGAAACACCAGCAATGACAGACGCTGGACAGATTTGTCTGTGTTGCTCTTTGGCTTTTTTTCCGTTTGTCACTTCTAATGTTTTTTGTAACTACTGGGAGGTGTACAGCTGCTCCCACCTTCACCTTACAGAAAACCCGATTATTTCTAGTTTCTTCTTTACACCCAGACCAAGGCCAGCCTTTTTCCTGTCACCTTTTAGTCTTTAAGTGAGTCTCCAACCAGTTTAGGCAGAGAGTTCAACGAGGCATCATGAGTCACACTTTCCTTTTGATGGTATTTTTGGAACTATCAGAAATCTTTTAAATACATTCTGACAATTTGGAGAAGAAAATGCTGCAGTTGCCTCGTTTTGATTTAACTGAATCTTGAAAGATAAGCAGGGGGGTGTAAAGGAGGATGCACAGAAACAATGCTGCCTTGACTCATTTTCTTGTTCATTCTGGGATGATGTTTCTGGCCTTTAGCTGTTTAAATTGCTTGTTGAGCATGGCTGTAAGATCTGATGCCTCCAATGAATAATTTCTGAACAGAGAAACATGGTTATTTCAGTTCACAATGTCTATGTGCATGATGATAATGAAATTTCAGTATTGATACCAACAGTACTGATGTGGGGGTTTTTAAGCGGTTGGAATTTTAGCAAGAAAAGCAGTGTAATTACCCTTAAGGGGACTGTGCCCTTTGACAGCAAAGCAGAAAAATACTGTGTTCTGCAAATCTGCTGCTCTGCTGTACTCTGGAGAGTGGACAATAAAATTGGTTTAACAAACACTAGTGTTATCTCAATGTCAGCTGAAGAGGATTACAAGAGAATCAATTTTATGTAATTAAGCTTCCCTGCCATAAACAGAGATCATTTCCTTAAAAGAAAAAAATGAATAAAGAGAAGTCTCCATGAGTGGAGCATTCCCATCCCTTCTTGCAAGGCAGTTGTTAGCTTCCTATGTTAAATGACCAATGGTAATTGTAACAAATCTTGGGAAATATCACTCTCTCACTGATAGGCAGTAATGTTTAAACAAACAAACAAAAAAGTATACAATGTGTAACAATTCCACCAGGAATGTAAAGCATAGCTTGACACATGTCTTGTTTAGGGTTTTCCTCTGGCAATGTAAAAAATAGAACAGCAGAGTTTGACATAGCCCTGCAGTTCCTGCATCTTCCCTTCATGTACATGTTGATAGGTCTTTCTCAAAGTCATACTGATATTAGATGCATTCTCTGAACACAAAATGACCTTCATGCAGGAACAAAGGAGAAATTATTTCAACTGTCCAAATTTAAATTTTCAACTGAAACTGTTAAAAAGAGGTGTTAATAGGAGTTTGGGTTATAGAGGGGGCACATTTCCATTGAGAGGGTAGGATTTTCCCTGTACATCTGGCTTTTGAATGCAGTAGTATCCTTCAGCTGGTAAATGCAAATCAAGCAACAGCGAACCATGCAAGGCTGAAGAGTGAATTTAAATCTTAATAATACCACATCTTTTTTGATGCAACCTGGGTGTACATACAACCAAAAATTGTCTCACAGTGTTATTTTAAGGACAGTACTACCAGGACAGCTTTCACGGTAAAACATGAGTTCCAAAGGAAAGGGAAGAAGAGGTCAGACCTAGGAGAACTGTGATTGCTTTGCATCAGACCCACCCCTTTTATGCTACCTGATTGCATTCCTGTGTGTTTTCTGCTTCAACATATTTAAATACATACCAAATTACAGCCCAGTCGTGGATTTATTGCAGCAAAAGCTGTCTTTCTTCCCCCACAGAGACACACACTCCTGTGTCTCTTTTTGTCTGTTTGCACTGCTAATGTTGGAACAGGACCATGTGTTGCTTTTCACCTCCACGTAACTGGGCCTCACTATCATCCTTACAACTGTATATAGTACTTTCTTGGCCTGTAGTAAATACTGAAAGAAAGAAAGAAAACATTTGGAGGCAGGTTGCTTTCTCATGCAGCTCCAGGGTCCTAACAACTGTTGGAGAGTAGTCTGCAAAATAGCTAGGTGTAAGACTGGCAGGAATTGGTTCCTCTCTTCCGCCACGGCAATGTAGATGCTGTTGATCCATACTATTCATTGTGTTTCCTCATCACTTATCCTCCACACCGGGTATTGGGCCATATTATCAGCACAGAGACTATGCTAGCTCTTGCAATAAAGTCTTACATGTTTATGTCTTGATGCTAACGTTGCAGAATTAGGCAGCTGTGGTGTGAAACTCCTGCCTTTGCACTATGGATAAGGAAAAGATTCCAGTGGTAGCTGGCATCTGCATAATGGAGGAGGCAAGTGCCCGATTACTGGCATGTATGTGAGGACAGGCTGTTCTGGTACCCTCAGGGAATGATAGCTGGAGACGAGAAACTCAAAGAAATACTAGATGAAGTGCATTCATGCCTGCACTTCCATCATTCAGGTCTTGATTGCACTCACAGTTTGTGAGGGCATCATTTGCCCATTTCTTCCAGCCTGTTTGCAGTCCTGGCAGTCAGTAGCTGATGCCAAGTGGGTGCCTGCTTGGCATTCTGCACCTGCATCCCACATCGCTGCATAGCCTGCATGACCTGAAGTGGCACCCATGAAGTAGGTGGTATTCATGGAGTGGTGCAGCCCATTAAACTCTGAAGTAAATCTTTTAAAATCTTGTAGGAGTTCAGAAGTCTCTCAGTTTGCTCCATCAGTGTGATGTTCATTCATTCTACCTTTTCATCTTGGTGCAACTGCCCTCTTCCTCCTGTCTTCTGTTCACTCTACAGAAAAGTGCTTGCCTGGGTAGGAAACATGCTTTTACTCATGCCATATATCCAAATGTCAAAATTAAGTAAAGGATTTCCCTGGTCTTGTCTGGAATCAAGGTAAAAAGTGAGTGTGTTTTACACAACACAGTTATAGTATTAAGGGGAGTGAGGTCATACAAGGAGATCAGATTTAAATGATAGTCTTTCTGGTTTTGTGCTGTATTGCACATCTGAGCTTGATCTAGTCTGTGAACTCTGCTGTTACTTACCCTGTTTCTTTTTCCCTGATTTTCACCATCTCATCAAGCAAGTATAACTAATGTGAATTGCATTTTCTGCAGCTTTTGCTTTGATTAGCAATTGCCTTTACTCTTGGACAGAGAATAATCCAAGTCTCTGGGAATTTCCTTGCCAATTTCTGTAAGGCTGCATAAGGTTTTCTTTGGTTTGATTAAAAGAGAAAAGAAATCCAACTATAAAACAAAAACTTAATAGAAGTTTAACTCTGATAAGAAAAAGGGTTCAAATTTTGTTTCCTTATTTTTTATGAGGTTTTTCCTGTAGACCCCAAGAAAATTCTCCTTGGTCAGGATGTATTTCACATGTCTGCCGTGGTTCTGTAGCACTTTGCTCTACAGTGTGATCACCTCAGCCAGGCTTTAGATCTCTGTCATTGCTGAGCTAGAAGTGTTTCCATCCTGGGTACTTTGTCTACATCATCCTTGCCCTACTATTTCATCATACACCCCTGGTTTTGTCGTGTCCATGATTTTTATCTGGGTTATTTTTCTTTTTGCACGCAAGTGCCAGAGTTTGACTGTTACATGTTTCAAAAATATGTTCTTTTTTCCCCTGTGCTGCATAGCTCCAGTCTTGCAGCTGATATATGGGTGTTACCAAGCAGGGATCTGTACAGTCAAAGATTTCTTCATAGTATCAGCTGTGGGATCAAACCATACATTTTGAGTTGTCAATTACAGGTGCGCTGCACTAAGAAGTTACATCTTGTCCTGTCACTCAAATATTTATGTGTTTGAGTTGAGAACAATGGAAAGCTAGAATTTTTTGGTTGAATTGCCTTCAGGATGGTTACAGATGCAAGATCGGCTCTATGTTTCTTTACATCAGGAAATTGCATGTCTTTCTTTTCTAGATTTGAACGTATTCATACAAAGAAAGGGAACTACAGTAAGTCACTGGTTTCAAACCAGGAAGAAGTAGATGATTTAGCAACCTTGGAGGTACTGGATGAGGTAAGAATCTCCTTTTTCATGTTTTCCTGAAGGAAGGTAATTACATATTAAAACACAATGCTGTGCTGTTGATTTTCAAGTTCAACTATGTCGTCACATTTGTGACAAGTATGTAAGTGTACAATGGCATTTTACCAGTTTATGCCCAATATTTTAGGTTTACCATTTTGCAGGAATAGTTCCTACTCAGAGCTAAAACACCCTTTGCAGTTACAGCCTAAGACTGAGCAGTAGTGTAGCAATATTTGCTTCACAGGGTTTGTATTGCTGGATTTTATTACAGCTAAATATCTAGCCTGCAGTGATGTGCTAACCTGAAATTGGTTCTGGTCCAACAACAAGCACCTTATCCTCTTTTCCTTGAACATATAGAGCTTTCTTAAACTAGCTTACACTCCTAGGCTGGGTTCTCGCTGGCTTTGGTGTGGAGATGCATTGAGATGAATTTATGTCTGCTGGCACTCCAACCTGTCAATTCCTTCTTGTGAACTTTTGACAAAATTACTGATACAAACCTCACTGTTTTGTCAAAGTTTGAAAATTAGTCCACTTGGAGCAGGGTAGCACACATAAGGGAGGGGAGAAATCTGTTGTGTTTATGCTTGAAGCATCAAAGCCAGAAAGAAGAACCAGGCTACAGCACATTATCTGCAGGTCTTAGAGGCCATCAATGGTTGTAAACAAACTGCCATCCTTCCTCTACTGGGCTGTGCATAAACTATAATTCACATTCTCTTATCTCTAAAGCTTCTCTGGTACATTCTATCTTTTTCAGTCCAGAATAGTAAATGTGGCTCAAACTGGTGAATTACATAATGCTGAAAGCCCAGTGTCATGGTTTAAGTCCAGCGAGCGGCTGCATGGTTCCAAGTTGCCGGCTGGGCTTAAACCACGACATCCAAAGAACATCTTCCGTCATCCAAGAGCTTGGTTATAGTAGTTTAATGTCTAGTTAATATTAATAGAGCTAATCCAAACTTCATCTATTGCACAAAGCTGAGATTTCAGCATTTTCTTAGTGTTGGGAGTAGCCATATGCTAGTGAGACTTTTTTATCTTTTACCATGAAGCATATAAGCAATCTGAGTGAAAGAGAAAACACACAAAAAAACAGACGAGCCAGAAGTGTATCTCATTATCTCATCTCTTCAGAAGCTGAGCATTCTCAGGAAGCCTCCACCTGAAGGCATCATTTGACTATGTGATATTTTACTAAATCAAGTCCAGTTTAAAACCTCTTTCACACATGAATGGCAGCTTCTCAAAACTGTCTTCTTTCTTCCATTCAAACTTTTCTTCCAGTTTAGATAGCCCATCAGAAGAGCAAAATAGGAGACCTTCTATCAGGTTCAGAAATAATTGCAAAAGGGCAGAATTTCCCCTAAAAAAAATGTGTTAATGTGAATCTGGTTATGGCCAAAAGCAAAACAGTATTCAAAACCAAAAAGGGAAGAGTTTATAAAGGCAATGGTAAATCAAGATTTTCTCCTTACATTTTTTCCTGTGAACAGATAGATGTGAAGGAGAAATGATTCCTTCTGTAGTCCTCTGCTGCTCATCATTTCATTCCAATGAGAACAGGGCCTGAATATTTTTACATGTACCTCAAAACAGTCTCAAGGCTGGTTTGAATTTCTTCATCCAGCTCTATGTCTTGTTCATATTGGAAACCTAACCAGGCACTTTACATACCGAGCTCTATGCAGAAGAATCTGTGGGAAATTATGTCAAGAAATTGGGTGTGCCACTAATAGATCTTTTTTCTTAGTTCAGGGAGTCTCCAGCAGCAAAGAACAATCACAGCAGAGAGTGGTTGTTAATACAGAAAGGTGCCTGATCGTCCCCATTAATAAGATCCAAACAGTTCAAATCTGTATCTTATCATAAATGAGAGTGATGTTAGAACAGCTGTAATGGCAGTTATGAATTCAAGCATATGGCTCTTGCATGATGAATTACATGAAGCTGTAGTGTTAAAAGTGATGACAGGACTGTATCATGGAAACCTTTGATTAATTGAATTACAGCAGTAGTTATTAGCTCATTTTCATACAGCCATTTGTAAGTATATATTGTTCAAAGTGAGTTTGGATGCAAGAAATTAGGAATGGCAGTGCGTTTGAAAGTGTTACTCACTTTCCATCATGATCAGTTGTATTCCTGACTATTAATACCTTCCCTCTCCATCGTCACTCGTCGTAACTATGTATTTTATACATTTTCCTAATATTGTTTTTTTCCTCATGTGATTCAATGTTCGTATTTTTTCTCCATCAGAACACAGTAACAGAGCAGTTGCAGAAGGGTTATGCCAAGGATCAGATCTACACATATGTTGGGGACATTCTTATTGCTGTCAATCCATTTCGGAACATAGATATTTATTCTTCACAGGTGTGAAAATCTAGGTTTGGTTCTTTTAAACTAGCACTAATTTCCATTAAAGTATGAATATTTGTATTAAGTATAAAGTAAGACCATTCTTGAGATTTACATCAGTTCACTCTGAAAAACAGAATTACCAATACAGTTATTTCTTCACGTTCATGCTGACACACATCTTTATCACATGCTGAATTTCAGCAAAGAAATGAGAAACTCCAAAAAATTTAATTTCTGATATCTTTATAGTATAATGTCTATATCATGTCTGAAGTTCAAACAGCTATATCTGAGCAAGTTGTCCATTTTGATCAATGGATAGCAATAGATTTTTGACATTGTTATTCTTCTAGTAACTTTCAACATTCATTCTTGCATGAGATAAATTGTGCTAAACTTCATGAAATTTGTTGGCTAGAACCCCATGGAGTGTAAAGGTGCTAGCTGCCCATAGCATCTAGTTCAGAAGTAGTATCTGTACACAGAAGTACATTTATTTATTCATGTGAATCTTACCCCTTTCTGTGGGAGGGAGTCTGCTTTCCTTGAAGAACTGTGAATGGCAGAAGGTAGGAGCTGGGGGCACTTGCTCCCAAGAGAGCTGGGGCAGCCATAGCTATTTAATTGCTCAAACAGTTTTTGAAGCAGCCCTGTAAAATTTTAACTTTTGTGAATTTGCCTGCCCATTATACAAAATGTGATGGATATGAGTATCTGGTCATACAACAATTTTGCATTTTACTAGTTATCAGATACTACAGGTACAGAAAAGTTATTAAGTTTCTACATCAATAGCATGCAGAAATACTAAGAGGATGTGAAGTACAAATAAAATTAAATTATAATTTGGTCCTTGATGTCTGGCAGCATAAATTTGCTTCTGATAATTGGAGTTTCATAGCATAATCAGGGCTGACATCATAAAAATTGTGCTTCATTTTTTTTAGCAGTTCTTATAGTACTAAGTACATACAGATTCGTGGTATAGTGAGTGCAGTAACAGCTCACTCAGGAAACTTCACTGTTGGTAACTTCAGCATGCTGTACACTAATCTGAAAATAAAACTAAAATCAAAGTTGTTAAGGGACAGCTGATAATGTTTTCATTTTTCTCACACTTAGCATTCCAAACTGTATATTGGAGCCAAGCGGACTGCCAACCCTCCTCATATTTTTGCTGTTGCTGACATAGGTTATCAGTCCATGGTGACATACAACTCTGACCAGGTATAGATGAAGTTGTCTTAATTATATCCTTTGCTAGGCTGAGATTAGTAGTAAGCTCAGAGTCATGCTCTTGTGTATCTGTGCAGTGTATCGTTATTTCTGGAGAAAGTGGAGCTGGCAAGACACAAAGTGCCCATCTTCTGGTTCTGCCGCCCACTGTCCTGGGCAAGGTATGTTTCAAAAGGAGTACCTCTGTAAGCCTTTACTACCTTTAGGCCTATGGACAGGGCATTGGTAGGGGGGCAAGACTGTAATACATTTTCTAAAGAACTTCTGTGAGGTCAGATTGGAACATGATGCAGATCTATCTACCCCTTCTTCCCTCCTGAACTAGGGTCACTTGGAAGTATGTTGGAGATTCTGCAGTGAGGGCTGTGACTTAGTCTGCCCTTGTTAAACTGAGTGTCTTAAAATCAAATCACCCAAACTGTACTAAATTAAAGTCTCTTCTAGCTTTTCACCTCCTTCCACAACCAGATTGCTGTCAGTGGGACATGGTCATTCTGGGAAATGACCACATAATTTTCTAAATAAAATGGCATTTTTATATGTCCCAGGTGAGATGCAAGTGATCTGATCTATTGGTATGGTGCAATGCAGCAGTAAGCAGTTGCTAACAAGGATCCTAAAAGCAGGCTAGCCTTTTCAGAGTGCTGGGCCACAGAAATTGTTTACTTATGGTGTTGTCACTATCATTATGTGTGTTATCTCTTCCAGCCAGCCCTTAGTTCTGGAGATTACTATATTCTGACAGGTTTCATGATTTAGATACGCCTTTATTTACATATGATTCACATGGGACTGGCTGCCCTGGTGATGTCACACTTCACAATACCAGCTAGAAGAAGAAAGAAACAAGAAAAAATTTGTTATTTGAATGATTACTGATAATTTTAAGCATTATCCTTTTCATGTCCAGGCTAATAACAGGACTCTACAGGAGAAGATCCTCCAGGTGAATAACCTCGTAGAAGCATTTGGGAATGCAGGCACTATCATCAATGATAACTCTAGCAGATTTGGAAAGTATTTGGAAATGAAATTCACCTGTGGTGGCACTGTAGTAGGAGCTCAGATTTCAGAGTATCTCCTTGAAAAATCCAGAGTTGTCCACCAGGCAGTGTAAGTATAAAGACACTTGGCCTAATTTGGGGGTTACAGAAAAATTATATATGACCTAAGATGGGAGCTACAGAGTAGGCCTACAATGCAGGGAACTATTTTGGATCAAAACACAAAGATGAATAAGGTACTGGGATTTTTTCTTATAAGTGATATAGGAATTGCCTATAAATCTGTAAGCCTGCTGAAAACTACTTCTGATTTTTTCACTGCGTCCTGGGTTATTTAAGCCAATCTCATAAAAATGCATATGTGATATATAAAGTGTATCATATTGTGTAAAGAATCAAAAACTTTCTAATAGGTCAGTTTTACATTTCTTTATGGAAGTTTGAGGTATTGTGTTAAGTATATCACTTGGATTTCATTCCTCTACATTTCCTCTAGTATTGTAGCTTTGTTTGCAAAGTGCTCATTTTCCATTTTGGGGCATCTAGTAGGATCTGATTATTAAGGGTTATGGACCAAAAGCAGAACAGACCCATCTCTGTGATGTGTGTATCTCATAATATAAAATGACAGAAAAATTAAATGGCATTTCCAATTAATTTAAATTACTGACATGTATTTTCTATCCTAATACGTAACCAGATAAAAAATATTTTGACAATTCCATTTCTGCCATAATAATAATAGAAAGAACAAAGTTTGAGACAAAGAATGTTGTCAATGATTTAAATTTTTCCCCTTGCTGATCACTTTCTCATTTTTACTCATTTCGTAGTTCTGCATGATCTTGTTGCCTGTTGTAGAGTTGTGACACGAAGAACATCTGAGTATCACTTGGATGCTTCAATAAGCAATTTAAAGTTAGAGGCAATTTTACGAAATGGTGGGGGTTCCCCCAGTTGAACATAAGCAAAGATAGTACTTTTTCAGAATTAAATGAGCTTTTTCCTTAAAATACCACCATTTTCATGAATTTTCATGGGTTTATTCTTTGGATGTCAATTTATATTTAGCCGCATGCTGAGACAGGAAGTCAGCAAAGCATTTACATGCCTCAGATGCTATTTAGGTAGGCGTTTAGATGTCTGAAATCACAAGAAAATGCCACTGAAGTGTTTAGCATGAGAGTCACTCTAAGAGGTTATATTTTGAGGCATAAACTTCCAAGGGTGCCTGAAGCTGTTTGTGCCTGTTCTGCTCTTCTGCAAGAACATGACTCCCAGACTCAAGTGGAGAGCTAGGAATGACTTTTTGCAGAAAGCCCAGTGACTGATTACCCAGAAAATGGGACACTCAAGTTCCAGACCCACTTCAAGCCAAGAGATTTTGAACCTACAGGTTCACCTTTCCAAGAGAGTACACAAAACATCAGGACACTGTGAGGTTTCAGATTGTGCAAAGCATGGCTACGCAACCTTATGGTTAAGGCACTGATGGGGAAGATAATGGATCTGCTCCTGCTCCTTGAATTGATCTTGTTTTCTGCTGCTGACTGTCCACAGTAAAATATAGAAACTAAGCTGCTCTGATCTCGGCACCCCACACACAGAGAGGAGTGCACCGGGCTGTGATCCTGTTTCACAGGAGCATGTAATGGTGCTCCTGAGACACATGCATCAGCTCGTGCAGAAAGGAGTTTGAACACAATTCCTTTTTGCTATTTCATAATGACTGACTTGGCTATCTCAGGGTTCAGTGATGGTAACAAATTTCCACCTAAGCATCCAGTTCTTCCCCATAAAGTACACTGAAACCTTGGATGTGCAATAGAGCTTCTCCCTTGGGTTTCAGCACCTAACTTCTAGGCAAAGCATGCCAAGCCGTAAGGCCTTTTGCTGAATGTCTGCTTCTGTGCTTTCTTGGTTCAGGGCTAAATGACACAGCAAACGTACTGGATTCAGTGAATCAGGAATGTGTAGTTCTGTCATGGTCAGAAGATTTTTTTTAAGTGGCTGGAGGTTGAGCAGCCCATTTAATACAGGTGGGTGAGCAAATTGCAAGATCTCACCAAGAATCTACCAATTGCATCAACAGTAGAGCAGCATTTAGCTGGTTGTAGCACTGAGCAGCCACCCTGGCGGCTTCAGAACAAACACACAGTGGCACACAAAGGGTGTTCACTTCACAGGAATTTATGTAATAAAGCTTCTTTCAGAGTATTCTGTCAGTTTGCATGAGGCTTGCCTATTATTAAAATAACATTTAATAATAGCATGTATGTCATCAGTAAATGTAGCACAGTTACATTACTAAACCAGTTTGGTGTTTCTCTTGTTTCAGAGGAGAGAAAAATTTCCATATTTTTTATTATATTTATGCTGGTCTGGCAGAAAAGAAAAAACTGGCACATTATAAACTGCCTGAACATAGACCTCCCAGGTAATGCACTTTATTTTTACATAAACTGATTGCTAAGAAATGCAGTGTTGAAATCCCAAGCTCATTTATATTCTAACTCTGTATCCATCAACTCTTTCAGATATCTGCAAAACGATCATTTCAGAATAGTACAAGATTTCATGAACAATAGCTTTTATAAGTCACAGTTTGAATTAATTGAACAGTGCTTCAAAGTCATAGGTTTTACACTGGAGGTGAGTGATGATAACCCCTTTTTTGGGTGAACTTTCATGGCTAGCTTAATCAGGAAAAACTTACATAAAGCATTCAAATAATCTCCCTTGTTGTTTTCTTCCTTTAGCAATGGTATGTTTGTTGCTTAGGACATTGCACGGTCAACTTACTGTTATACTACTGCATTTAAATTTTTAAGGTTTCAAGGCATTGATAATCTAATAAAATGGTATTAGTCAACAAGACTTTGAAAACAGTGAACACAGCACAGCTAAGTAAATGAGGAAAAAAAGGCTTTTCCAAATTAAATACATAGAAAATGATGCTGTAACTATTTATTAGCCTATAATTTTAGGCCTGTGAATATGAGTCTCATCTCTGTTTTAAGATGAAGTCCATGGTGTGAGTTCTAAGAATTCATTGAATTGATCTGAGTTTTGATGAACTCAATACATTTTCACAACTCCAGGGGTAAAGTTGAATGAAGTTTTTACATCCCTTTGGAATGAATCTCATCACTAAACATTAACTGAACCCATTCATTCTTTATTATCTCACATCATTGCTCTGCTGGCCATTAAAGCCCTCTCCTCAGGCTGTCTTTGGTATAATTAAAATAAAAAGAGCCTCTGGATTTACAAAGTAGAATGCAAGGGAAGGAAACCCCATCCTGCACCCTAGTTCTCTCTTAGGAGAAGTGATGCATCACAGCTGTAGTTTACTGCTGACTTTATCACAAATGACAGTAGGGGTATGATCTGTGAAAAACAGCACTAGTGCTGTAGAACGGATGCATGTTTTAATTTCTTTGACAAAACTGCGTGTTGTAAGGACCTTTTCACAGAAAATTACTCCAGTAGAATATTTCTGCCTTCCCTCAATGTAAATATTTGAGTAGCTAGCATAACAGATTTATTCATCTATTCTGTTCCTTCATACTCATTGTGCATTAAGTTGTAGTAGCAGTGGCGTTCAGTCTCTTTCTCCTTTACATAGTTATTCACAACTGCACTTAATAATTTCACACCTGTACTATCACATCATTTCATATCTGTGCTTTCACATTTCCAGAAGCAGCATCCAGAAGGATGCACAGTTCAGCACTGATAGCAGTTTTGTCACAGCACTGGAGACCTTGATAGATCTTAATTTATACCATGAAAAGCAGCAAGTCTGGTTTTGTTCCCAGCTCTTTTGTTCACTTGGATGGATGGAAACAATAACCTTGACCATCCAAAAGAGACCTTCCTATGTATTGAAGATCCAGTTAGAACTAGGTCAGTCGCTGCATTGTGCAGTTCTAGCATGGATCTTTACTTGATTAACTCAGCAAGCCACCGTGAGCTGAATCTGTAAAGAATTATGTACCTTTAAAACGCCCCCAGTTTCAGAAGCAAGTTGAGTACCACAGGCAATCTAACTGTGGTTACATGTGAGCCCCATCCGTCTTAGCCTGTCTTACATTCTCCACAGGGTGAATTAGCCTGTCTGATGTTGTGTTTGCAAGACTGGAGGAACAGAGAAGTCATCTTTACCCAATGAGATTCTGATGTAGGGTACATGTGCAGAGACAATTTATTTTCAGTGAGAAAAAGATACCTCAAGACAATGATTTCCTTCTCTAAGTTCACTGTTTACTAATGCAGCCTTCAGTTTAGACATTCATGTCAGTGCACAGAGGAGGTTCAGTATAAGCATGTTCCATGTTTTATTAGCAGAAAACCTTGGACAGAATATCTTTTCCACTCCAATTAAAACTGAGACCTAAACAAGGCTTGATTTCTTTGAAAAACTTTTTAACTGACTGGCAGGCTTTAATAGTAACTAATGTCAGTTCTCCCTGTCTTAAAATCACACTGGTTTGTTTCAGGCTGCATGGCAAAATTAATAGGAAAGGACTGCCTGAGGTGAACAATAATCACACTGTATGAGACAGATCAGGCCAGATTTCAAATACACTCTGGAAAAAGGCACAAAAATGTCAGCAGCTATACACACTGCACAGCATAATGGCAGAAGTTTAGCTATCCATTTCTTTGTCTCATCTATGTCCCTAAGCTTAAAATGAAAATGATTGCTTAAAACCTAGATAAACTGCATGACAATTATCCTAAGCATAATGTTTTGAAGTGAGCTTATCTAGTTTGTCTTGCTGTCACAGGAATAATTAATTTATTAACTGCTAGATTAACTTCTGAAAGTGTTGAAAACAAGCTCAAGTATTCTAGAGCAATTAAGGATTTTATCAGAGTAAATGATGCCTGTCAGGGTACCAGCAAACTATTGAATATAAGGGATAAAATGCTGTGAAAAGTCCATCAAAAAAAAAAAAAAAAATCAAATTTTTAAAAACTGCTTCATATAAAAGTACTATAAAACTTATAAACCTGCTATTTATAAAATATGCTATTAATGCATGCCTCAAAATATATAGTGTCAGAGATTCTTAATAGCTTCAGATAGCTTAAAACTGAGCCTACTTTACAGGAACAGCTCAGCATCTCTGAGTAGAAAATACTCAAGAGATCATCAAGTATACTGATAAATGCTCGCAGTTCAGATGAAAATTCACGGTTCAAATCTAAGTCAAACCTGCAGTGAAAGCATTGTTTCATTATTTGCAAATCTGGTTTTATTTGTCATACATAAGTACTTAAAATTATTTCCTGTATGTTTTACTTCACTGTCCAGATTAATATTAGTCTATTTTCAAGGCAAAATCCTTCTTCAGAACCCTCTAAATCATTTGAAATTTAAATATGTTTAAGTAAAGTCCATACTGAAGTTCTTTGGTGAGTACACAGTTCCTAAATGACATTTTGAAGGGTAAAGTGCTTAGCCAAATCAGGGATATGAGGTCTCACTCTTCTCCCAGTGAAACTTTTTCTGATTATGTCAGTGGGAGCCATTGCAGACCTATTTTTGTGGGTACCTTTGTTTCCATGATCCAAGAAACATGCAGAATTTGTTATGTTTTTGTTGATTCAGGTATAACATTCTTAGACATGGTTGTGCCTGCAGACACAGTGAAGGGCTGATATACATAACCTCTGAATTCTTTCTGTGTAAAAGGATTGTGTTCACCACTGTTTTGTGCTTCCCCTACTCTGTGTCAATCCTGTCCTGTTGACAAGTGTGAAAGAGAGATTAGGCTATAGTTTGCCTTGCCCTCTTTGGGTGTCTTAACACTTGAAAGACTATGCTGAGTACAGAACAGGCAAAGAAATACATCTGCTGAGAAAGTATTCCTTAAAGTAGAGGGCATGCAGCAGACAACAGGAAGAACGCATACACATGCCCATCACACATACCAAAGTGATACACCTATCTGGCTATTAAGTAGTGCATCTTTTTTAATATACTTTTCAGGAACTTGGAAGTGTGTACAGCATCCTGGCTGCCATTTTAAATGTGGGTAACATTGAATTCTCTGCAGTAGTATCAGAACATATGATTGACAAGAGTAATATTTCCAATCCAGTAGCCCTTGAGAATTGTGAGTATTTTTTCTTGATTTAAGATTATTTCCCTTTGCTTTTGATAGCAAATTTATTTTCTTGCAATCAAGTTATCAGTGAAAACTGTATTCATATGGAAATTTTGCAAGAATAATTAAATGCTGAAGATAGATAATTCCAAGACCACATGACTGCAAATACAAAAAGAAAAAATTTCCCATGTTATGCACCTTATTTGACTAACCAGTTCACTGGCATTCAGGAAACATGACAAATACTGCAAATGCCTGAAAATAAAATCTTTAGAATTTTTCCAAGGTTATTTGAACATTTGATGTAGAACCTCATTAACAAGTTGAATAGTTTTTTCCCAGTTTTTTTCCCAGTTTCTTTCTCACATTACTCATTACTTGTTCTTCACATGTGTCTGTTGAAATACCGCTCACTAATTGTTTGAAAGGGATACCTTACCTTACAGGCTGCCAGGAGGCAGAGGAAGGAAAGGGTCAAAGATTCTCAAGAAAGTTGCTACTGCTTCTCAGTGATTACAGGTGGGGAGGTAACAGTCTTCACACTATCTTCTTACACATTTTCCTGCCATAGGCAGAAGAATATTGTGGAAATGGGAAAGAAGTACCCCTTTTCTGGCTCTAAAGGAGAGCAGCAGTGGCATATATGGATACACTGTAACTGAGAGGGATATTCACACCTCATAGCATATATATTCTTGATATAGTCACCTAGACTCCCTAGCATTTCTCTGTAGAAAGTTTGGAGAAATAGCCTTCTTGGTAAAGCATTTTAGAACCTAAAGGCTTCTGCTTTGAATCACTTACTCATTGACTGCTATGGAAGCTAGGAAGGTTGGTGAATAAATTAGATACTGACACTTGTTTGGCATGAACATCCTCATTAGTCATAGTTCAAGACTTTGATTTGACCCTTACTTATCATACATTGAACTTGAAGCTTTGATTGCAAAAATGCACATCTTGCCTTCAAAAATCTGCTTCTGAGCTATGCCTGTGACCTTCCTTTCTAGGTGCCTCCTTGCTGTGTATTCAGGCAGATGAACTGCAAGAGGCCCTCACCTCTCACTGTGTAGTGACTCGAGGAGAAACAATTATTCGTCCCAACACTGTGGAAAAAGCCACTGATGTCAGAGATGCCATGGCCAAAGCACTGTATGGGCGCCTCTTTAGCTGGATAGTCAATCGCATCAATACTTTACTCAAACCTGACAAACATCTGAGGTAAAAAAAGCTTTCCAAGAATAGAGATTTTTTGTGGGAATAATATCATCTGCACTAGAGCATTTAGTATTGTCATCCACTTGATCTCTACTACCTTTTTGTTTATGATACCACCATGTTAAAGAAAAAAAAAAGTTTTTGCTATGCAGACAATGTAGTGAAAATAGAGTAGATGTGGCTAGCACAGGCATCTGGTGTTCTCCTGCTTGACTTTTACACATTTAACCCTTCATAAATGACATACTAACTTTTTCATTTATACTTTTTCGGGGTCAACTTTTGACATTCACCTGTTGATTACATAGGTGAAATTCTGCTCTTATTTGCGTGATGCCATTGCTTCTGTTGCTGTTATGAGTGTGGTTTCATATGTGTGTGAGAGTAGTTTCCAAACACATTTACTGAGGTTAATGTCCATTCTATACCCTTACAAGCTGACATTTTAAACACAGAGACAAGAAAGATGTTGGGAATGAGAATAGAACACATTTTGCAGATTAATCAAAAAAGAAATTATGTGGCTTGCATTGGAGATCCTATAGGTCAAAGCCCTCTGTGGCTGCTAGTAGCAGTGTAAATGGGCAAACTTACAACTACCTGAAGAGGACTATCGATAATAAATAGCTTTGCTTTGAAAATCTGGATTTCCTGGATTTCTTTTTTTTTTTTTTTTAACATGAGAGGAAAGCCAAAGCTGCAGTCCTAAAATTTGTCTAAACTTTCTGGTTACAGCAGAGCAGCAATAAACAAAACTTTAATCAGTAAGTAATAGGATAAAATTCATTCCTGTGTGTCTCTGTCACGTGCCTATTACAGAGCTTTTTTCAATTGAATACTTACTATGCTGATGAGGAGGAAGAAGATTTGACCTGACACAGTCACTATACAAAAAAAAAAAACCAACAAAAAACCCACCACAAAAAACCAAACCACCCAGAAATCTGCTTTGGTTTTGTGGTATTAAAATAATTTGCATTTGCTATTTTTATATAATTAGCTCTGAGAAGGAGCAAGACAGACGAATGTCAGCAGTTTATTCACCAAAAATGTAATTTCAAAACAGATAAAATAGTAACCAAATTCAGGTCAAAATCATCAAATATCTTTGATCCCTCAACAATGAAGCACTTCCATTTTTGAGATGGACTTCACAAGGAGGTTCAACTGCTAATCATGAGTATCTTGAGGATGGTTTTTCATATCTAATTTCCTAAATTTTTTACTTAAAAAAATAATAGAATTCTGCTTACAGATAGCCCCTCAAATAGGTTTTATACATAGACTGTGATTTATTATTTAAATTTAGCTAGGGAAAAAACACTAATGTCAGCTTCGGTTTTATATAAAATTATATCTTCTTCATTTTTTTGTGTTAGGAAATAAATACAAAATTAGTGCTTTTTTCCATTCGCAGAAATGAGCACATATCTCTCAGAATACTTCAGCTAAAATTTCAAACTGATGTTTTTACTAATAGTACTTCTCTGGAACTTAATTGGTAATTTAAATTCATATTGCACTCCAGTACTTAAAGTAGTTATATAGATGCATAAAAGGTCTAGCCATTCATGGTTTTTACTTTTAATGTTGAAATAAGCGTGTTTAATTGTTGTGAATAAATAGTAGGGAGAAATAATATTTCATGACAGCAATCTTTAATTTCAAAGATGCTGGTAAGTAAAGCCTCTTATTACAGGAGAAAAAAAAAGGACTGAATGTTGTTTCTGTACCATAGTCAGCTTTTTACAATAGAATAATAACTAGAAAATGTTAGTTTAAAAGTAAAATTGTGCATCTTCTATACACTTATCAGCTGATTCAGATGTGATTCAGTGTGTCTGGTCTACAAATACAGTTATCTTTCAGCTGATGTGCATTTATTGCATTTCAAACAAAAATTGATTATTACTTTAAGAAATATCTGTTCTAGCAAAAATTATTCTGTTTAACTGGCTTACAGATTTGTACCATTATTTCCTTTTATGAAATACTAAAGAAGCTGGTCAATGTAAAATAAAAATAAAACAAAGAAAGTTTATTTAATCTTTGCAGTGGAAACGATGATGGTTTGAACATTGGAATTCTTGATATCTTTGGCTTTGAGAATTTCAAAAAAAATTCTTTTGAACAACTCTGTATCAACATTGCCAATGAACAAATTCAGTTCTACTTCAATCAACATGTCTTTGCCTGGGAGCAGGTATGTGTTGATAGTTTGATAAGGCTTTAATACTGCTGAACATATAAAACCTTGCTTAAGAAACTACATCATTCCTTCTCCATAATAGATTGTAAATTGCAGATTATAATAATTTTTCTGAGTATGTATTCTGTGAAGCAGTGCTTGCTATTTGCAAGTAAAATGCCTACATAAACTGCATTAAAATTGAAATTTACAGTATCTAAGCAACATAACACAGTGATATCCAACTTGAGGCAAATGTAATGTTATTTTCTTGAGGAATAACATGAGTGATGTAACGTATGATTCGACAGTAAAAAAATACATGAGTGGTAATATAATTTTTGAAGTGCAGTGTTCATAATAGCTTGCTAACAAGCTTAATGAACACTGAAATTCCATTATCAAAAAAACTAAATCTCGCAATTATCTTGTTCTTATTCAGGAACTAGATCATCAGAACTAAATAATGGTGGATTTCATGTAAATAATTTGATGTAAAACAGAGAAAAGGAACAAAGTTGTAATTATAAAAGTTTATGAAATTCAAGAGGATAGTGAAATACCTCAGAAAAGATAATCTTAGCTTTGTAAATAGTTCCATGAGAATTAAATTAACCATTTTTAAATCATTATTCAATATTGTTATTTGAAGAAATAGCATGTCCAGGGGAAAAAAAAACAACAACATAATCTTGCTGAAAATAGAAATATTCTAGAATTCTGAGCTGAACAGTCAACATTCGAACTTTCTCTGATTTATTGAAATTATTGGAAGTTTTGATACATAGGTGAAAATATTAATTCTAATTATGAATTTAATTATTAGTAGAAAAGGAGTATGTTGTCAGTGTTGACCACTGTGTGTTTTAAGGGCGAGTCAGATACAACTTTGGAATATTTCTATATATGGAGGTGTGCACGTGCATGTGTCAGTCTAGAGGTGTATACATCTGTGTGTAAAATTAAGATTTTTTTTGTATAGATCAGTGTTTTATTCTGTTTCCAATTATTTCAGGAAATGCTGTCTTGCAGTCTTATATCTTGTAATTATTTTTATAGATTTATATGGAAGACTCTCAGTCACGCTTATTTCCTTCTCATTAATACCATCTAAAAGTCAGAGAGAAATTAGCCTGAACTACTATAATTACTTAGATGTGTTCCTTCCAAAGTGCATAAATTCACACAAAAAGAGCAGCTGGCTACTGCTTTTTCTAACTGGATAATGGAAATAGCACAGACTGCAGCACTTTTATTCCTGTCAAATCCAGGCACTGACCAGGTCCCATGTCAACTTCGCCCAAATGTTCCCTAACTTGATCCTCCCCCATGGAGGGTAAGTCTTCCTTGCTCCAGACTTTCCCTCTTGTCTCAGGGACCTGGGATTATCAGTCAAGACCAAAGCAAAGAAGGCACTGAGTATCACAGAATTACAGAATGGTTTGGGTTGGAGAGAACCTCAAGATCATCTAGTTCCAACCCCACTGCCATGGGCTGGGACACCTCACCCTAGACCACATTGCCCAAGGCTCTGTCCAACCTGGCCTTGGACACCGCCAGGGATGGACCATTTACCACTTCTTTGGACAACCTGTTTCAGTACCTCACCACCCTCACAGTAAAGAACTTCTTCCTTATATCTAACCTGAACTCCCCCTGTTTTAGTTTAAACCCAATACCCCTTGTCCTGTCACTACAGTCCCTGATGAAGAGTCCCGCTTCAACATCCTTGTAGGCCTCCTTCAGATATTGGAAGGCTGCTATGAGGTCTTCATGCAGCTTTCTCTTTTCCATGTCATCCGTGCATTCAGCAACAAGCACACTATTTCCCTAGTTGCCTTTTTGCAGGTGATGGACTTGGCTTGGCTTTCCTAACCCTATCCCTGTACTCCCAAATGTTGTCTTAATATTCCTTCTCTTTTTTAATGTGACTATCATCCTGTTCTGCCTTTATTTGTTTCTAGATATCCTAATAGAGGATATTTTGGCCAGACCTATACTGATGCAGAAGTTTGTGATGTCACCATCTACTAGGAACAGTTTACACTCCTGCATATGCTCTGCTGCAGAGAACTCAGTGGTTATTTTGCTGCTGAGCAGATGAGGGAAAAAATGAACTTATGATTTTGACAACAAAGACTTTACCCCTTTCTCCCTGTAGGAAATTAGTATTACAGTTACAGACATTATGGAAGGGGAAGATGATCTTTGGGGAAGATGATCTTTGAAGAAGATGATCTGACATATTTCAGTTTTGGCCACTCCTGCTCATTCTCTCATAGATTACCTTGACTCACACCCACATAGAAAGCACTAGGACGTGTGTGTTCAGGTGGTCTGCCCAGGACCATCTGTGAGTGAGACAGAGAATAAAGGACACCAGCTTGGAGGTCTTCATCATGTCTCTTAGGTTCTTGCTGTTATAGTTTTTGGGCAGATCTTTTACATCTTTTAGCAATCATGTTACAAGGTGGTTCTTTGCCTCAGAACCTTGTTCACGTTAGCCTCTGTAATTTTTAGGCAAGGTCATTATCTGGTTTTACTTGTTTGGAATATACACATCTTTATGCCTACTGTCTGTTTCCTTGGTAGGTTTGTAGGAAAAGGAAAGATGTTATGTGATATGCTGTAACCTTGCAGCCATCCTCTTGTTGCCAGATTTAGAGGGTGTTCCACTCACTGGCTGGCTGCACTGTTCTTATGTAAGTGAGGACCTTCTGGTCTTGAGGTAAACAATACTTTCTTCAATTTATTGCTGTGTACAAATGTTCGTCGTTGAAATCATAGGCCATTTTTCTAAGACTCTTTCTTCTGGTGCTTACATGCACATTTCCATTCATACTTCATTTATACTAGTCCTAATATCTCCTTTTACAAATGTCCACATCCTGCCTGTAAACCAACTGAGTAAGATGTCTAATTTACATGATACTGCTTCACCAGACTATATCAATCTTCATTATATTATCCTGTAGCAGTCTCCAAAGACACTACTGCAGCAGTGCAGAATGAGCTATGTAGATTAACTTCATGCAAGTGTGGGTGTAAATCACCCCATTTCAGCCAGGAAATGACAAATGCCTTATTCTCCATTACAACTCAATGGCATGGGCTTATATCTCCCCACAGCCCTGCACAATGCCAGACAGACATGTTGGTGTGCTCTGTGCAGTCTCAGAAATCTCTAACATGACACTACATTGCCCCTGTAGATCTACCCAAGGAAGACTGCAGAATTCAGTTTCTTTCACACTTCCCTCAAGCAAAGTAAAACTTATAGGTACACTATTTCTTCTTTTTTTCCCCTGTTTTAGCCTGTTCAATTCCATACCACGTACAATTAGATGAAATTTGACATATCTATTGGGAAGTCAAGTCCTAAATCTGTTGATGATAGCCTAGTTCTCAATTAACCCGTGTCAACCTAATGAGTGATTATATAACAAAGAGAAGGTGAATAGTTTCTTGGCAACATGATCCAAATAGTAAATGAACTCATAAGGCTGAATTGTACTTTCAGTGTTGCAGGTGATGATACGTTTTTAGCAGTCAGTGGTTTGTTTTGTGTATTTAAATCTGAGAAATGTTCACAGTTTTGCTTTCCACGGAAGTGTGACCTACAAAAATAGGGCCTCAGAAGTGATAGGAATAGTAGTAAGGAACAGTGGTACTATCGCCACCAGTGGCTCTGGGTGTCTGCATACCAACGTGGAGAACTCAGATTAAGGGAATTTATTCTTTATTGTTGACTTAATCTTTGCATCAAAGAATAAAGGCTTCTAGGCCTGAATGCAATCTTCTTTCACTACTTTAACAGAACGGCTGAG